CTTTCCATCAAACACCTTATGATCATGGATCCACTTGAGCATGAAAATTCCATCAAATTATGAGGAAATAACACCATTGAAATCACAAAATAATGCTCAAAGAATCAATCCCAAAGATCACCAAGAGATCACATTGTGAAAGATGAATTATCCAACTTACCAAAGGTAGATCTAGAGAATTATCAAAACAACTTCAAGAATTTGCTTCAATTCAACCACAAGAATCAATTGACCAAGCTTGGATGTAGATAATTGATGGAGAAAAAGTGTTTGGATGAAGGTTTAGCTCAAAGATTAGTAAGCTTCAATGCAAAGCTTACTAACTTTTTGAAAATGGAGCTTTGAGTGAATTTGGTAGATGGAGAGAATTGAGAGATTTTTTAGCAAGGTGGATTTGGCTATCCAAAGTTTGAAATTTGAATGAAATGAGAGCTCTATTTATAGAGTTTTAGGATTGGGATTAGTGGTAATTTTGTAATTGATTCTTGGATCCAAAATTTGAATTAATGATAACTCTTTCAAAAATTAGAGCCAAAATTTGAATTAATGATAATTCTTTCAAATATTAGATCCAAAATTTGAATTAATGATAATTCTTTTTTAAAAATGAAAGATTGGCACTAAAATTTGAATTAATGATACATCTTTCAAAAGTGAAGGAAAATTGGAGCCAAAATTTGACAAGTTTAAAATGCTGATTTTTTTTTCCAAATTTTCACGCTGTGCAAATTGATTTGCACAGTGTATTTTTTCAAAAATGGCGCAAAATGCACTATGTGCAATCGATTGCACTTTAAGAGCAATCGATTGCATCAGTGAAAAACAATGAAAATTTTTAATTCTTTTTCTTTGCAAATAGAGATTTTAGGAAAATAATACCAGAAATCCTTATTTGTCAGATGCTTCGACTTGGTACCTACAAAACACAAATATGCAAAGACAAAGACAAATATTTTTTGTATTTTGATTAGAAGTTATTCAACAATACAAGAGCAAACTTAAAGATAGGATGCAAATGTGATGAATGAAGCTATTTATTAATGATTGTGACTGAATAACAAAATATGGTATGAAAGTGCGACTGAAAAAGTTTGGGGCAAAATTTAGGGTACAACACTTGTCAGCTATATTTATCGTCACCGACTTATCGCTTATTTGGCAAGGAAAAAGTGCATAACACTTTGGGAGATTTACTTCACCATAGACCGCTCTCTAATGGACATCTGAAAGTATCGGTTGATGTTGTATTAGATCTGGATGCGTTGCTACCGATACCTGACATTATTTTAGAGACAACATTGCTACGAGATGCAATAAGATTATTTGTTGCATGATCGCCGGACCTCATTTTCATAGATGATGAGGTATGTTGAAAACCATTATGAATCTTTTAGTATTCAAGTTTCAATTTTGAACCATTACATACATTTTTATTACATGTTAATTTCAGACTCCTACAAACCCGCATCTAAGGATAAAGAGATTTTGCGGCACAGCGAGTCTATTGCATCACAAAAAGAGGTACATTTAAAGTGTTAATTATATGATCCGAATTCAAAAATTGCATGATTTTATAATTTACCTAAGTTATATGATTTTTAGGTACCTGCTCAACGGTCACAACAAGTGAGCCAGAAATTTAGTAGCGTACCCAACAAGAAAAATGATCTTCCAATAATCGGGGCAAGAAAACCTTTTGTACCTCGATTTCGGATGTATCTTGAAACACTTGTGGGAATATCAGATTTGATGAATGGTGCTATTCGTCAAATGGATATGGAGGAAGGCATATTTGGTTTTTCTTACTTCGAAACAATTTCAAAAGAGGAAATGGAACAAATTTTTCAGCATACAGAATTAGGCATCGGTGTTGTACACTCATACATCTGGTAATGCGATCAATCTATTATTTAATTAGTCGAACAATTTATTTACACATTTCAATGAAAATAGTCTAATCTTTATTATGTTTTTATTTAAGGTTCTTGTATGAAACATTGATGCGTGGGAATCAATTGTCAAACAGATTCCATTTCGTGTCTGCCTCCCGTGTCAACGGAGCGTCAATTGTTCAGGATCCAGATTCAGTAAGAAATCACTTAGTTGGGAGATTCGAGGCCAGCAGTACAAAAAGCTTGTATCTTTTACCGTATAATACGATTCCTGTGGGGTTAATACTTCATTCTAAGTTCATTCTAATCTTTGTATCTTTTGTGTTGAAAATTTTCATCTAAACTTTTGTTTTTATTTATAGACATCACTGGTTGTTGGTTGCTATTGATCATTTCAAAGAAGTGGTGTATTATCTGAATTCGGTAGATGGTGAATGGACAAATTATCCAGATATGAAGTTAATGATTGATACGTAAGTGAGATTGTTCTAAATATTCGTGTGTATTTGTATATTTAATTATTTTTGTGAGATTGTTCTAAATATATGTTTTTATTTTGTTAGATCAATACAAGTATTCTGCTCTCAAAGAGAAGCTTGAGTATCACGGTCTAGATCAAGCAACATTACATGGATCAAAGTGGAGGTACATTAATTTTCATAATTTTGCTTATAATAGTGATGCTACTTGATAAAACAAGACAAATATACATTCTTATTTGTTTTTCTATATAGTGTGCTCAACAGCGTAACAGTATAGATTGCAGATACTTTGTTTTGAGGTTTATGAAAGAAATCCTTCTTTTGAATCGAGTAGAGATTCCAATCACGGTATGGATTTATAACTTAGGATTTATTTTAATATTTATCGGATATTTCATATAATTTATTACTTTTAACTAAATCATGCATATTATGTTTTGTTATGTAGTACTTTGATAAATGCAAGTGTGCTCATTACACGAAAAATCAATTGGAAGAAATCAAGGAGGAATTGTGTGAATACTTTATTCAGAAAAGAATCATATAAGGTATTTGAAGTTGAAAAGTGTTATGAAAATTTTTAATTGTGTTGGACCCAAGTTAGTTTAATTGATCGTGTTGTTCTGTTCATATATAAGCGGATTCGAATAGAAGGTTTTGTTGTACTTGAGTATTATCACATTTATACGAAATTCTTGGAGTTTGTTGTTCGAAATAGTCATAAATTTATCCTTATTATAGTGCATCCTCCTCCTACTTAGTAGCAAACATGTGAATTGAATTATAATGGTGTTTATATTTTGGTATATAATGGTATTATAATGGTATGTAATGCCTTTTTTTGTATGTAACGGCTTCTTTATTGAAATAAAGGGTCGTTGAAATGTAAGGCTTGAAGTACAGGTATATGGGATTATTCCCAAAAATATGTCTTCTAAAAAAGAAAGAATACGCAGCGTTTTTACATGAAAAATACTTAAATTTACGTGAAGCAACGAAAGCGCTTTTTAGGAAAAAGCGTTGTTAAACGCCTACTTTAGAAAGCGCTTTTCCTAGAAAAGCGCTGCCTAAAGATGCCTTAAAAAATACATTAAACAGCGCTTTTGAAAGCGCTGTCTAAAGGGGTCAATAGAAAGCGTTTTTTCAGAAAAAAGCGCTGCTAGAGGCCCACCTTAAAAAGCATTTTTCTAAAGAAAAGTGGTGCTAAAGAATACATATGACAGCGCTTTTGTATTAAAAAAATGCTATCTATACCTACGGCAGCGCCACCATAGGCAGCGCTTTTAAGCGCTACTAAAGGACAAAAAAAACGCTTTCTTAAATTTTTTTAGCGTAGTGACCCCTCTCTCAGAGATGTTAATTTTTTTTCTGTAATCTCTACCTCGTACAACCTAACTCCGACCTATTAAAGAAAGTGGTAAATATTTCATCGCTCTAATATATAAAATGTGATTAGTCAATTAGAGAGGTTGAAATTATTCAATTATGACAAAAATAGTACAATTAATTTATGTATGAAAAGTCAATCATAAAAACGATGTACTTATTGCAACATAACATATGATTAAACAATATTAAATCGATAATAGAGTTTACATTTAAATATAAGATAGAAAAGTCATAAAATAAATTATACATAAAAATATTTTATAATATATTAGAAAAGAGAGGTTAAGATTGTCTATATTCAAGCCGTTAAAAATATATATGAATGATGAATTATTAGTCTAAAAATTCTTAGTTAGTTTTAAATATACTTATTCAAATGTCGGCACTAAAAAAATACTAAAACTAATTAGAAGATTGAAGACAAATGGTATTCAAAAAATGCAAGAAGACAATTTGGAATTTGGTTCACTATTTTGAGTCATGGGTTGGTCTCTATTATTTTCCATCAAGCCTATCATTGTCACTTTTGTGAAGAGATAATCATGTAAATACAAATCATATGACAATTGACTTCAGCAAACATTTAATATCGTGAAGCGCATAATCAAAATTGGAGGGAATCAAAAGCTTACTCAAATTACTTTCTTTCATATTTTCAAATTGTATAGCGCAACTTATATCATATTACCTTAAAAAAAAAAAAATTTAAAAAGAGATATAAAATTATAGAATAAAATATTTTATTATAGAATTTTTTTTAAAACGATTTACAAAAAAATAATCAAGTTACGAGATATTTTTTGTGACGTTGAATTGAAATGTATGAATATTATATAATATTTTGATCAACTTCAAATCTACACCACTGTGATTATAAAATATTATTCGTTTTAAATGTATAAATCCTCATAATATGAAATTGTTATTAAAAGAATATGTCTTATTAAATTAATAAATAAATAATTTTATAAAGACATCTCGATGAATTGAAATTGGTTATATAAAAACTATTATAGAGTAGTATTTGATTAATCATCATTTTGATTATAAAGGAGAAGCATATGGTTACATGAAAAGAATAAAAAGGAAAAACAAAAAGATAACAAAAGGTAAAAGCCAAACCTTTCTTTTTTGCACATAAACCACAGACAAAAAGAATCTTAATTTATCAATTAAGTAAAAATCAAACAAACTCCAAAAATTAACAAACAAAATTAAATAAATAAATCACAATCACCTATCCAGCACCGCCGCTGCATATTCCGGCCAGCGACACCGGAAACCTATTACAAAGACTCTCCGCCGGCGATTCACCGTTACCAACATCCTCAGCCGGTGGAAGAACCCTCCCATCAGCAAAAAGCACTCTCCCGCCGTTCCTCGGTTGGGCAGCTACAGCCACCATTCCCTCAAGCTCCGCCGCCGTTTCATAAAAAGCCCCGTCGCCAAACCGCCGCTCCACCTCCAAAAAATCTCCTAGCGAAGCCGGCCTTGCGTCGCTGTCCCTACACAGCTGCCACCACTTTTTCCGCCGTTCTGCGGCCACCGATACGGCGGCAGAGGTCCTTTTCTTCTTTCTGTTAGAAGCATTTCTAATGGATCCAGCGCTGCAGGCTCCGGCGTCGGAATGTGAGTCGCGGTGCTGCGATGGGACTCTGAATGTAATCGCCGGAAAACTGAGTCCCATTAGAGTCCCTAACGTTGTGCTTCTATCATGAAAAAATGATCCTGTGGACTAAAATGTCACAAGCCCAAATTAGATTGTTAGAATATTGGGTCGTTAAAAAATAAGAAAAATTATTGAGAAGTTAGAGTTAGATGATGTTGATGAATATTGATACCTCAGTGTCAAGATCAGATGAAGAAATGGAAGAGATGGAGGGTGAAGATGGTGGTGGAACCAAATCATTAGCTGGATCTAGCATTGTTTTGTGATGGAATTGTGGTGTGTGTGAGAGGTTTTAGGGGAGAGGAATTAGTGGGAATATGAATGTGTTGAGTTTTATGGTTTTATATATGTGTTAATCAATGAAGCTTTGTGAGTGATGAATGAATGGATGAGAGAGTATACTAGTACTGTAAATCTTAAGCTTCAATTCTTATTCATTAATTATATACCCAAAGAAACATTGATGTAAACAAATTGTACTGTGTTTTTAGTAATCAGATCTAATATAGTATTATTAAATATAGGATCTATTGTTGATAATTTTATAATGGAAGCATTGATGATAAAACAAAAGTGAAGGTTAACTGTTGCACGTGGGAGAAAAAAAAAGTGAAAAATATGCTACTTGACTGAGGGAAAAATTGCTTTAATTTATAAGAGTAATAAAAACTTTAATGTCTGAGATTATTAAACAAGCCTTCACCAAAAAAAATCTTATTACATGATGTAAGTAAATTAAACGACAAAGACAGGTTGAAAATCTTGAATTTAAGACAAAGCTAAATTGAAAAGGAGCACTATCACATGATGTAATATCCCAACTCATAGTACATATCTATCTACATGACCCAACTAAAAGGTGAATATGCTTAATGCATTACTCACTTTAGATAAACTCCTCTCAATACCATCCAACCAGAAGTCACAATTGGCAACACACAATTAGGACATTCAATTATTCAATTATTATTAAAAAAATTCTTTCCACAATTTGTCTAATACACTTCTTCCTGACCTCTAAAGAAAATTTTAAAATATCTTTAAAATTTGAAAGTATATATTTCAACGTATCATCAATGTGATTTATTAAATTTATTTCGGATATGTATATCTGAATTTACCTGTTAGTCAATTTCGAATATGCATATTTGAATTTATCCTTGAGTAGAATATTCAACATTATTCAACATAATTCATAACATTCATTCGACATAATTCAAAGAAATTACATAAATAGTTCAGCAAAAAATTAAAGTTACATATTATTCTAAACAGGCAGTTGAGAACGTTGTAAATAACATCTTTTGACGATCTTTGAAGCTTCGCATCCATCTCAATGGGACCCTTAGAAGAGTATCGTTGAAATGTACCACACATAACTTCTAAATCGTCGTTGTTCTTGAGTTCAAACAGGGTGAACTTTACGTTACCTTCAGTGTCAACTATAGGTGAACGATACTCAAGCTTGATCACCTTTCGATTCTCTGGATATTGCAACAGAGAATGCATTATGTTAATAAGCTCAGCGAACGACGTGTCCTGCGAGAACCTAAATTGAAGTGACGACTACGCACCACTGAAGTAGACAAAAACAAGGTGTGGATATGTTTGGGTCATTTTTTGTTGTGGTATGTGATGGAGAATAAAATGGTATATGAAAGACCCAATTTATAGCCTTTTTGGAGCAATTTGGACCAAAGAAATCTTATCAGGACATATTTCGGATATGAACATTTGAATTCACCTTATTTTTATCAAAATAAGGAGTTTCGGATATGCACATCCGAAAACACTATAATTTTTAATAAAAATGGAAGGTGAATTCGGAAGTTCATATCTGAAATAAGTCATGTGTTATTTTTTTTTTTAATTGAAGGTTAATTCAGAAGTGCACTTCCGAATTATGCAGAACTAGAAATAACAACATTATTTTTACCAAAGTGATTAAAAAATAAATAACATTATAGAAAATATGTTATATATGTAATGAATCGTATAAATTTTACAACGTGTACGACAACACATTCAAAAAACGGTTCGATTACATTCTAAAATAAACCGAACGAATTGTTACTGCTTAAATCTAAAATCAGATCTTTCTTCAACTTCTCCCTATTTGATTCTCTCTCAAGCTCCATCAAATTGGTGAACTCAATCATCCTATCCAAAAACTGATTCGGCCAAGTTTCTGTCTCTTTTGCATGATGTGTCGTCCATTGCACAACTGTAACTGGTATAGGACAACTCGATTTCAAATAAACTTGAACAAAATGGCGTGATCTAAGGTACCCAATATACATGTTGCGTCCGGATGGATCTTTAGGCGGGGGAGCCCGAAGAGGAAAAATGTTTATGAAAAACCATACCTCGTCAAATCGATACACACCCTCTCATATGTACTTGCTATAAGATGACTCATTTCAGAGAAGCTCATCCACTTTTCAAATGGTGTGCGAACGCTAACACTTGGAGAAATAGCATGGTGAACTTTATTAAATGCTTCAGTAGTCACATATAGGCGAGTGTAGAGTTTCCTGTGCACCGTCAACTCTGAAATAAGTGTTTGACGCACAAGAGTGTGATTCTCCTCTCCTTTACCAAGTAACCCAAACACGGTCCGATACCCGCAATTACCATCACTTTTCACATCCATGATTCCTTCAAGGTGTTTGTGCATAAAAAGCGGCATCTCATCAATGTAGATAATCATTGGTGGTTGTGGTTGTTTTATAATAGATGGTGTACAAGGCAGTTTGGAAATGCGAGCTCCGTAGAGGTGACGCTGACAATTTCTAGAAGAGGGACCTGTACATGTTGGTCTTGTATGTTGAATCAATCATAAGGGCGGTTGGAAGTGTATTGAATAAATTGATACTTTCTGGATGAGTCCAAAAAATGTCACGAATACTGACGTTGTTCTCACAAACTTTGTACTTGGAAATATAATGGTTATTGTCCAAACATTTCAATAAATGTTGCATTTCGGACCTCGGACCTCTTTGTGCAATGTGTTGTTTATAATGATGATTGTAAACCGACTTGATATTTTAAATACATCCTGGTTCACTCTATTTTAAACCGGCAAGTATGTGTCTCAGTGCAACTTTGATCAACGACAATTCTGAAATACATTTCTTCTCTACCGTTTTAAGCCGACATACAATTGGATGCCCGTGTAACTTGGTGTCCTACGTATGATTATGCATACCAGACAAGACATTATACCGCCATAAACCATTCATCCTACAATAACCGCGCAATTTAAACGAACGCTCACATTTCCTCGGTCCCGTGTCATCGTGTTTTATCTTCTGAATTTTTGTTACATATTTTCCACTTCTCTCGCATATCATCACAACAAATGGTTGCCTTTGACTAGTCCTATTGTTGGACCTTTCAATCACAACGCCAAACCCAAGTTTGCTAGCTTTCATTCAAACTCATTCAAGCATATGTTGATGAGAGGTGAAACTTTTATCATTTTGAAATTATTGTCCATAATCTATCACAACATCATTCTTTTTATCAACGTCCTTCACCTCACTCGGCTTATCATCTTTATTAACCTTGTTGGGAACCTTTACGACAACTTTGACAATATTATCGGGATGCACCATACCTAACATGTTAAAAAACATGAATTTTGTTAAAATAGAATTTTGGTTTTATAACAGATATTTTTTCGGATATGCACATCTGAATTATGGTAGGTTGAATTCGGAAGTGCATATCCGAAGCGACGATGTTTTCTTCTTCAACAAATCAACTTCAATGCAGGAAATGTATGACGAAATAATGAAAGTTTACCTCAAATTGCAGCTTTTTATGATCTCTTTGCTATACTTAAACACTTGAAACTTGATTTTGATACGAAAATTCCATTGAAAATGATTAAAGTTTTGTTGAGGGTTTTGGTTATGGGAAAAAAGAAAATGAATGAAATAGTTGAAATAGGTGACTATGCAGCATTCTAATATGGAAAGGGTGGTTTCAAATATGCACATCCGAACTCACCTATCAGCACGTTTCGGATTGCATCTCCGAAACTACCTCAAAAATTTAAGATTCAACATTTGCGTATTAAAATATGGAAAAAGAGTGTCTTTGGAGATACGCATCTGAAATATGCTAGTAGGTGCGTTCAGATGTAGATATCCAAAGGATATTTTCGGATTTTCAGTCATGAAAATCACCACTATTAAATGTAAAGAGAAATTCTCTTATTATTATTATTTTAGATGTTTTGTTTTTCATATTCTTTATAAGCATCTTTAAGCTTATAATGACTTTTGGGAAAGTGAAAATTTGTATTTATTTTAGATGATTATATCATATTCTCATATTTTGTGAAAAATCTAAAATATCCTTTAAATACTAAAATATATTTCTAACACACTAAAATATTATAGAAAATCTAGAATTGTAATACTTCTGATATTTATTGTGGTTGATATGTTAGAGTTTTGGATCACAAATGTAACATTTAAGGTGTTAATGCTATTATTTTAATTAGTCAAGACTTAAAGGGGTCTAGTTAATATAATATTGAATTTGTGGCTAAAAACATAAATGTCATGAGATGTCAGATTATTATGTAGATATCATAAGTTAATATCTAATTTAGTGAGGGGCTAAATTAGAATATTGAAAATTATAACATACGATTATTTATACGGGTTATGGTTCTTATTTGTAGAGTACGCTAAAAAATAATGTTTATTAGGTTTTCTCTCTTCATCCCCATTAAAAGAGATTCAAGAAACCATAAGAAACACTACAAATAGAATATCGCATATCCACAACCTTCAACGATTTCAATGACAAACTCAGATATGCTTCTGTCTTCATTCTCTGATTGAATTCTGGCATGACTTTAAGCGATGTGAGTCGATGACATGTTTGACTCATCGACATTAGTTTAGAGTTTTATTCTTGATTTCTATATTGATATAAACTATAAAGTTATGAGCAAATCTAACAAGTGATATCAGAGTCGCCCATGCTTGATTCAATCTGATTTTTTGAGAATGTTTGAAATAAGAGTTCTAAAATCGTAAAAATTAATCTTTATATGTTGTAATTCATGTTATTGGTCTTATTTGATGGTGTTTTCATGCAATTCATGTTAGATGTTTGAATGAAATCAACTTTTTAAATAAAATAAAAAATCAAATCTAACACTTTTTTGTACTGTGGTAATTGCTTATGTCATATTTTAATTTTACGATGCACCCATAGAAAGGGATGTAAATCATC